AGCCTTGAAAGAAGCGGGACAGGGCGAGAGCAGGACCGCGTCCTCTGGATGTCAGGGGAACGGCCACTAAGATGGGCGAGAAGTTTTGCCTGGAAAGCGTTTCTCGTCTTCCTCCGTTCCCTGGACAGCAGAGGGCACCCGCGCCCAGCGGCTTCTCCGGCGCCAGCTTTCTGATTCTCCCAGGGCACAAAAGGCAGCTTTTCTTAACTCTACATCACAGATACACCAGCGAGGGGTTGGGGGGGGGGACACACAAAAAGACTGTGTTCGAGGTCCGGGGACTTTCTCCTCTGCGCCCAAGTTTGGCCAACCCTCACTCAGGGGATGGTCTGTAAGTCCCATCACCCACTCACAATCATGCTGGCTGGGGCGATCGGATCTGTAATCCATCATGCCAGAGGGGGGCCGGGTCAGGGAAGGCGGGCGTTTCGGTCCTTCCAAATTGCAAGGGAGATCCTGAACTCAGGGCCTGGAAAAGCATCTTTAAGCAACAACTCCCAGAAACCGGCTAGAAGAGTCTGGGAATTGAATATATATTTTTTTTTGGGGGGGGGGAAGAACCTCAAAGACAACAGGGCAGCCTTTCCGATACTCTAGATTTTGGGGAGACAAAGCCGAGATCCCAGAAAGAGCAGGTTGGAAGCACAGCCACAGTGAATTCCCAGTGGCTGAATGACTCCCCAGCCTCTGGAGGGTCTAAAATGGCTCCGCCGATCTTAGTGCCTGCTCTCTGGATGTTTTGCGCTAGCTTTATATTTAGATTTTAGATTTCATAGAACCCGGCCGTCACCCGCAGGGCGTGGTGGGCTTTAAATAGACACTGGCTTCACCCAGGCAGCAATCCGTCCTGCCCAAGGAATGAGAAAGGCAGGATTTGGAGCCTGGGAACGTTCCTTTAAAAACACAGAGAGAGAGAGAGAGACATAAAATGCCCAAAAACGCCTTTAAGAAGTTGGTCAGCGTGGCAGGGGGTTTGTGCCAGGTCGGTTCCATGGCTGCCACCTTTTGACCTCTTCCATCACCGGGGCTCTAACCATTACACCTTCCCACCCGATCTCTCCTCGGCTTCCCCCCCCATTAGTGGCACTTGACGCTACCGCGCCGGCTTCTTTTATATGGCCTGTTATATATTTCTGAGCCACTGCCAAGATGGATAAGGACGCCCAGCGAAGGCGATAAGGTTGAATCAGAGCCAACGCGCTTGCGAGCGGTGGAAATCATTGGGGTAATAATGCCGGGCCTGCCTGCCGCGCGCTCTTTTTCTCCTCCGGACGTACCCCACAGGGCTGTCGTGAGGGTGAAACAGGAGAACTCTGTCTTTTGGGAAGGGAGGACATAAAGCAATTGGCCAAATAATGCACAAATTCCCCCCATGAATTTGTCTCTAAATCATCCTCTAAATCCATTCTGGATCCCCAAACGTTTGGGGGAAGTCTGTCTTTTGCACTCTGCACATGCCCTGATTTCTTGGGTTGTTATCTCCTGTATTCCACTCCTCATTCTGTTAAGGGGGGAAAGAGGGGGGTGAAGCCCCCCCAAATGAAGAGATCTGATTATGGGAAGTCACGCCCCTTTACCTTGGGGAAGTTATTCCTTTGGAGCTCAACACCTGGAGGTCTATAACTTTTTTTGGACGACAATACCCAGTATCTCCTGTATTCCACTCCTCATTCTGTTGGCGGGGTAAAGAGGGAGGTGAAGCCCCCCCCAATGAAGAGATCTGATTATGGGAAGTCACACCCCTC